TATATATATATATATGTATATGTATGTGTGTATATATATATATGTATATGTATGTGTGTATATATATATATATGTATATGTATGTGTGTATATATATATATATATGTATATGTATGTGTGTATATATATATATATATATATATATATTTTAGTTTCCCAGTAACAATAGTTACCCTTTTATGAAATGAAGCAGTCTTGTTCTTAAACTTATGGTTTATCACCTAGCACGATGCTAGGCATATAGTCAATGTTCAATAATTTTTTAAGTAAATAAATAAATGAATAGCTCAGATCTTTTATAATGACTGTCACTCTTTTCCCATTTCCGTGTAAAGCTAGCTGAATTTAGTTTGAGACCAAGGTTGTTGTATCAACCGGGTGCTTACTTTTTAGGAAAACCTTTATTAGATTCAGGAAGGCCGCTGATTATTTATTGATGGCTCAATTGTTTTACACTACCTGAGGAAAAATTAACAATATCTCAAATGAAAACATTCTTATGGCCAGATATCTCAGGCTAGTCCAAAATTGTGCCTAATACATGTTATGTTCAAAATCCTTATACTCGAGTGAAATGTATCTTTTCCTTCTTAGATTTTCGAAATGAAATCAATGCAATTGTGACGGTGTACTTTAGGAAAACTGTCATATACAAGCTGGTATTTACTCTTCTTTCATCATCTTTAAAGATAAGATAAATATAAATGCAACTCGAAGACGTCTTTTGTGTAAGACAGTGTAATTAGTTGTTTTGCCATACATTATTATTATATAATGGCATTTAAAAAAAATTATCATTTGTTTTGCTTCTTCTTGTAATTTCAAATCCACTGAAAGTAAGCCACATTGTTTTGAAATAAATCTTACATAGGAAAATGGAAGATAAAGTGTTTATGAGCATATAATATTTAAATCCAAATTATTATTTAGAGAAGTTAAAAAAGAAAGTTCTAGAATATAATTCACACACTCTGACACTCTCTTCTTCATTCATGAAGATGTTTCTAAAAATGTTAGAAAAACAACCAAAAAAATTACAAAATAAAAACATGACTTTTTAAGTTGGTCTGAACATGTAAAGTGAGATAAAAATTCAATAGGTTTTGGGATGTATGTTTTTCTCTACTGTAGTTTCAATACATCTGAGTAAAAATTTCCTTTTCCAATGATTGAAATGGACTTAATCCATGAGACATTTACATCATTTAAGGAACTGGAATATTTTTAAGGCAATTGCTTACTTCTGTAACCTTGTAAATAATTATGCAACAAAGAAAAAACCCAAACGTTGCGGATTTTTAAAAGCACCCTTATTCTTTTCCTTCTTGTTTATTAACATTTGTTTTGATTTAGTAATATTGATGTAAAGTAGCTGAATCAAGCAGCTAATGCCATAGAAACAATAACAGGTAAGCTATTTGAGCTTGTTATTGTTAATTGTCTTCTGATCCTTAAACTAGGTGCCTAAACTGAAGAGACCACTATCAGCAAGAGAGCTAAGTTATATGAACACTGTAGGTGCCCAAATGCAAGTGATTTCTAAATATACTGTCCAAGTGTCACTGAATAATTCTATTTAATTTTTTTCACACTCTAAAAGGTGTAGTGTCAAAAATATTTGCCCCATTACAAGTTTTCCGAACTTGGTATCTCAATGCATACAATTTTCCTGAGAGATTGTCTCAGAAAATTAACCAGAGACTGCATTTTATATACATGCAGGTGAGCATAGGGGAAAAATGTTATTGTATTTTTCATGACAAAATGTTCATAATCATTCATTTCAAATTTATTTTTGACCTTTCAAGTTTATGTTTAAGGCAAGCTTAACTACTTATTTAATTTACTTACTCCTTTCTCTAAACACTCATTATTATCATATCTGTGTGTATTTGCCCGCATTCTTACTAAAATGTTTTCTTCCAATTGTTGGCTGACAAATCCTATCCCTTCTTTTCTGTGCAGCCTGCCCTGATCTATGCAGATAGATATGACCTTTCCCTTTTTAAAATTGTCATGATACAATTGCCACTGCTTTTAAGGCATGAATCTCATTCTACTGTGTCCTGTATTTGTATAGTGCATCCTTATTTCCTATATTAGGTTGAAAAAATTTTGAATTTAATTTCAGGATCTACTTTTTAAAACTTTACTAAGCTATTCTTTATGTATTTGGTAGTAAATAGATAACTTCAGAAAAAATGCTAAAATAGTAGAATTTTTTCTGATTGTATCTGGTTGTTGCTTTTTCATTTTATAATCAGAGAAGGTGATTAGAAATCACCCATTATAGAAATTGGAAATTTTAATGGGAAAACAAGGAGGGTAAAACTTTTTTAAACATATAAAACAAAAAGTATTGTATAACAAATGATGATTCACTAAACTTTACTACCTGCAGAAAGAAAAGAATTTTCTTGAGAATCAAAGTTACTAATGCAGTTATTTATTAATGGTGAGAAATCCCAGTAGATTTTATAGAAACTTTTAGTAAGTGTAGATTTCCATTTTCTGAAATATTTTAATGAAACTCTGTCTGAAGGGTGAGCAATGACCCTGTAAGGTGCAAATTTAGTAGGAACAGCCACAACCAACTTAATGTTCTTCATTTTATTGTCTCCACACAGTCTCAGACCTGATATTACTGAACTTGAAAAATACAGTAAAATCCTATATAATTTGAAAGCCAGGAAAATATAGCATCAATTTAGTTGCTTGGCTGTCTAAGGTTTAAGCAGCAAACCTTCATTATGGAAGCCTGTGTCACTTTTTTTCATAGCTGAAACTTTTTCTAAAACTTAGTAGAGCATTTTCTATTTCACAGAATATACCACATAGATGTAATTTCATTTTCATTGAAGCTTCAGGAACTTGCAGTGCCACTGTGTTTGCAAATTTTGATTTTAAAGTTCTAGTATTTTAGTCATTGGCCATTTGGATATAATTCTGTTCAAATGACGGGGCTAGATACTTTAGGTTACATATTATGGAGCATGGATCCTATTAACAATTTCATCATTGCCTGAGATCACACATACACTCTTGTATAAAAACCCATATTTGAAAGTGAGAAAATTGCCATAGATCAGTTAATGATGTTTTCAGCTTTACCTTCCAGTTAGAGATATTATCCATATCACAGGGAATTCTGGAGATATTATGGACCTGCTTGATTTGGCATGAGAGTGTGCAGTGGCACCAAATTTGCTGACAGGCTGATTCTCTCACTCACCTGATCTGAGGAGATACTGAGTCAACAAAATAGAACTCCAATTGCTTCCCTACTGCAAAGCTTACGCCCTTCAGAGTGATACCTTTGTCCTCTGGGGCTTATTCAACTGCTGTAGGAAACTGATAGCCTGAGCAGTATAAATAGAACAGAGTCCAATATGCAGAGAAAATAAAAAGACATAGAATTAACCTAAAACAGTGCAGCACATTTTCTTTCATGCTTTATCAATTTTACTTTTATTTCTTGGTATAGTCATATAAAAATAGAAACTTCCTTGGAACATATTCATTTTATTTTGATGTTATTTTGATTATAATACCTGACTCCCATCATTCTCATTCTCCCTCACAAAATCATAAAGGATTTAAAATTTTCTTTTTTTATTCCATATTTGCAAATCATAACATAAAATGAGATGGGGAAAAATTAGAACTCCTCACAATTGGCAGCAAATCGAGCTTCTATTCATCCACTCATTCATTATTCATTCATTCATAACTGCTCTAAAGTACTTCAAAGATAAGAATCAAATAATCTAAGTAAATGACCACACCTTGACCTTCCTCAGTCTAGTGTATTAGCATTCACTTACAATGTGCCATGCACTTTGTGTGTTTGAAAATTGTACTTGGAACAAGCACATTTCAGAATAGTATTGGACTAGAGTCTGTTTACCTATGAGGAGACTTAGGGAAATTACTTTAAAGTCATTAGTAAGTAACTAACAAGGGTAATACTTTTGAGGGTATCAGAAAGTTGGGAAAAAAATGATTTTAACATCCTTTCAGTGATAGATTTCTATTAATTCATAGGAATAATATACTATAATTTTATTATCTGTAGTGGTCTAGTCATTCATTTTAATATTATTTTACCATGTGCTATGATATAGGCACTGTGTTTGTCAGGCAAACCATAGTTTTGAAAGACACAGCTCCTGTATGTTAAAGAACATAAACAAACAGGAAGTTACAAAGCACTGTAGTAAG